TTCAGCAGGTCCAGGGTCACATGCCTCCGCTCATGATCCCCATTTTTCCACATGACCAGCGCACTCTGGCAGCAGCCGCGGCAGCCCAGCAGGGCTTCCTCTTCCCCCCAGGCATGTCCTATAAGCCAGGTAAGAGAACACACTTCAGCTCTTTGAGTTTCATCTACACAGCTTTATTCCTGTTGCACCTTGTACACTTAGGATAAAAGGTTTGTCTGAATTTCTGAAAGTTATCCTAACAATCAGATATACTTGTAGATATTCACATACCAAAATTTTACATTTATATTTAAATATTAATACTGTTATATTAAATCAGTATTTTTAAATAATAATTAATTCTATTGCAAATAATACTACTGCTGTTACACCCAAAAATGAAAGCAACGTTTCAAACCTGTATGACTTGCTTTCTTTTGTAGAATGCAAAATAATACATTTTGAAGAATGTTTCAACATATTTTTTTTGGATTTGGACTCTAAATATTTTCACTTTATGGACAAAAATAATACATACATTTTTCTAAATGTCTTCTTTGTGTTCCAGAAAGAAAGAAAGAAAGTCATATATATACTATATATATATATATATATATATATATATATATTATTCACATTTAGAACTGTCACCTTTGTGAGGGATGTGTCATTGGCACTGATTTGGAGATACTAAAAGCCAATAGGTGATACTAAATTAGCGATTTATCACAATCACTATCCCCAATTATTTCTGTTTCTTGAGGAAATAAAAGGTGACCCATAGTGTTGCACATTTTCTCTTTTGGAACTGAAAGGCCTCTGGTGAAGCGCCATCGTACTTGTCCTGGCACGCCTTTTTTCTCCTTTTGTGAAAAGTGAACCACATTTTTCATTTTGGAAACGAAGGGCCTCTGGTGAAGGAGCCATCATACTTGTCTTTACGCGTCTTTTTTCTCCTTTTGTGAAAAAGAGAAGTGCTCCTCACGCAAGCACTGTAAATTCAAAAACAAATTTGTAGGAAATTGCTACAACACGCAGGCTGACTCACTGCCAGTATCCCTCACCCTCATATCCAGCCATTGTTCTGAGGTTTAGGGATGTGCCAGTCTCAGTTTCTGTAATTAAACCGTTAAAAGTGTATTCCTGCCTCCCAAGGGATCAGTAGCACTTAGTTAAATTTCCAGCCTTCTATCATTTCCCCCCTATTTCCCCCCTCTTTTCTTTACCACAAAGGACTGTTGAGAAAAATAAAAATGGTCATGTAATGATTTTTCAGTGTAGCTGCTGAGTTGTGTTAGTAGACCTGTAGGAAATGAAAAGGAACATAAATTAAGAAGACAAAAAATTTGAATGAGTTGAAAGAGAATTATTGAAGAAAAAAAAAGAAATGATCAGTGCAGCTCAGTAAAAAAGCTTTCCTTTGTCTTCAGAGTATGCCTTGAGAAACCACGTTTGTTGTCAGCACCTCATCAAAAGGCAAATGTACAGGAAAAGAGAAAGCGAGCTAGACAGAGAGACTGATAAGAGGGAGGAAAGCTTAAGAAGTCAGCAGGTGAGAGTTAGACTATTACAGGGTGTGGTAGAGCAGCTAATAAATTAACTAAAAAGGTAAATGATGGAACATAAAGTCAGCTATTTTGGAACTACAAAGGCATGACAGGTTGAACAAAGAGCCTGAGGGCTTTCTTTTCCCCAGTTTGATTTTTTTAATATGTTTGACATAGAAAGTGTTTTAGTACAAATAACAGCAGCTGTAATGGAATCCTTGGCGTGTGTAAAGCACTTGCATTATTCATAATTTGCAAAACAGCGGAGTGGAGAAAGTTTAGGACATAGCTTATTGCCATTAGTGCGCATGACTCGACTTATTGCCACAGATAATGCGACAGGACTCATTGCTGTTTGTACTGCCCAGCATGGGGCAGCGCGGCCAGGCTCAGTGCAAGCAGTCAAGACCCAATGCTGATGGCCCTAACCCTGCAGTGAAACAGCAGAGATCCCCTTTCTCACACACTGTGCTCAATGGCTTGGGCTTGGTAGAAAGAGAGGGCTTAGGTCATTCTTTACTCAAATAGACTTGTGGAGGATAGTGGTGATCCCCCCCGTGCAGACATGAACACATAGGTATTGCTGATCGTGGATGTTCATGGCCCTTGGGACGCAATAGACTCTCGATGCTCCCGCTGGCGAGAACGCTGACAGCCAGTGATTGCACAGAACCTCGCCTGGGGAGCGTGTTCATGTCACAGAAAATGTGCGTCAGGTGTTTAGACATTGATACACTACATTAGCAATTGATGATCCCAGTTTTGAGCTGATGTATATCAGGGTTGTGCCCTGTTCAGAACTGAATTGAGAATTCCTTTTAAATTCTTGAGGTATCAAACAGAAAGCAGAATTGCATTTCAAATTTGACAGTATAATTAAAATGAACTGAAATTCAAGGAAATGAATATAACTAATTTTAACAAGGAAAAGCAAATGGAAGGATTTAAGCCATAGATAGATAGATTACAGTTCAGTAAATTCATTTCATTTTGAAAAATTCCAGTTCAACACAGCCAATTTAACTCAGATTTACACTCATGAATTTAAGGGAGCCAATTCTTCAATTCTAAATTTTGCATAACCTGGCTATAGATCATTGACACTCACTGTTCATTTATTTAGTTTTTTTTCCTTTTATTGATTGATTGCCTTTTTATTTTGCTTTTTTTAAGAAAGGAAAAGCTTGGTTAAGAGAAAGAGGAACGGGACATGGCCAACAGTTCTTACATTTTCTGAGCATCTGTTCGGTCCACTGTGCCACAGCTCTGACCAAAGTATTTTTTTTTTTCTTCATAAAAAAGAGCCTTCAGTTTTGGACTGGAAGAAGGCTTGTGAGCATGATAGACACTGAGCCCTTTAACAAAACCATTGATTTAAAAGAGAGCCCCACTCGTCTTGAATGTTCCACATGCTCGGCTCTTGGCATCAGGTGGAGTAGAACTGAAGAGGTTGCAGAAGGAGCACTCCACCAGCCGTTCTTCCCCACTCTCCTCCACCTTTTCATTAGCCTCGCAGCCCTCGCTTCTTATGGAGCACCGGCCCGCTTCAGCGGTAGTGGTGCCCTGTGCAAGACCCTTGGGTCCTTCCACTTAAAGAGGCACTGTGCCAAGTTGGCAGTCCAAATTGGCCTCGATTTGCAGCATGATACCTGGCTGAAACAGAATACACTATGAGGCTCTCTAGCAATGCTTTGAGAGAAAGCACTTCAAGCATTATTCAGCAGCCTGCCTGGCACTTTTATAAAGAAAAGAAGACAGTGGAGTATTGTGATCAGAGCTTAGGAGGTTTGCCCCTTCCTGCTAGGTGTCTTAGCAAAGCTTGCTTTGATAAGGTACCTCACTAATAAAGTGATGCTATCAGACAGAATTTCATGTTGAAGTGGATGCTCTGGTTTGGGTTTTCTGGACTGAGTTGTGTGAGCCAGCACAGTCACTGTTGGTTACTTTGGCAGGCCCTGCTACATGGTAATAGCTTTTGGTCAGTTTTGTTTTAGTCATTGTTTTGTCTTTTGATTAAAATTTCCTTTAAATGAAGTCAATATTTCATCATGACTAAAGCATCTCATTTTCATTGATGAAAAAAACAAAAAAAAAATATATATATACAGTATATATATATATATATATATATATATATATTGATGGGATTAACACTGCTTATGGCACAATATGCTGAATCGGATGTGAGGAAGCCCACTATTGGGCTCCAAGGTGGGCTGGTAATAAGCTTTTGGCCCTTGGCCTTAGCAGGCTTGGAGAAACAACCCTATTGGGCAGTAGCATCACTGGAGCCTCAATGGCATCCACTGGCTGGAGACAGGCAGATTTGCCTTTTAAACTAGATTCACTTTCACATACTGACAGAGAAAGCTGGCAGCCGACCCTGTCTACTTGAGACACTGGCTGCCCACCCAGCCCCCAGACCATTAGCCTTGGCCTAGTGTTCTCGGCTGGCACCTGACTTGCCCATGGCTCACATAACATATCACCACAAGCACAGAGCGAGAGAGAGAGGGAGAGAGAGAGAGTGCCTTGGACGATAATGACCCCCTCTACGACTCTCATTGCATTATTTGAAATCAGTTCAGTTGTGTTTATTCACCTCTGCCACAGGCTGGGATTGAATTTCCTGACTGCATCACAATGTGCTGTGGTCAGTCAGATTGCAAAGTGAGTAAGGGGGGTAAAAAGAGGGATGATATGTGTGTTTACCCCCATGCTTGTGGCTTAATAGCTCCATATGTTTGTGAGAAGAAGTGACAGGCAGAAGTGGGGGCTGAAAGAGGGCCAGTTCCCCTTCTATGGGTACGCTTCATTCAAACCTCTGCTCCCTGAGCCAGAGACAGTGTTATATACACCAACCACAGTACAAAACACATCTCACACACTTTCAGAGGCACTCAATTATCTGTATAAGGTTTCCAGAGCTATATTTCCGGGGGGTTGTTTAAACCTGTTGTTTTTCATCTGATTCCTATTGTGTTTTCTTTTTGCCCTATTGTATTGATTGATTCTATTGGATGCATTTGATCTCATGATGAAAATATCTTTCAAGCTGCATTTAGATAAGAAAACTGTCTTGTTAAAACCTGTTGAAGTTGGCATCAGCACCGTTTCTCTTTCACACAAATATTTTATTGTGCCAGATCACATTGTAAAACACATAATGGCATGTAGAACAATAGTATGACTAGGCAAGCTTCTCACAGAACATGATATAAATCGTAGATACTTGCGAACAATAACTTAAAATGGCATAACCTTGAGCACAATGCATAACCAGATCAGAAAGGACTGTGCAAATGTGGGCAAAGATGAAAAAGGGAGAAGGAAAAAAGCCCGAATGTGAGAGAAAGAGAGACGTTCGTGTGTAAATCCTGCTCTGCTCTGGCCAGCTGACTCTTTTGTGAGTGCAGATGTTTGGGCTGAGTGCCGAGACTAGGTGTAGGCAGGCCCACAGGAACTGTGTTGGCACTTGTCTGGCCTGCCGTTGGGCCGCTTATTGTCTCAACCTGTGTGCATTGTTCACTATCTCCCCCTCCTCCTTTCTCCAACAGGTGATAACTACCCGGTGCAGTTCATTCCATCCACAATGGCAGCTGCAGCCGCGTCAGGACTCAACCCTCTCCAACTCCAGGTATGTACAGTCACAAAAGAATTTACGGGCAGCGGGCCAAGCCCTCAGCACCGTGTGAGCAAACCAGCTGTATGATAAATAACAAGCTAAATCACTCACACACCGGTCCACCCCTACAAGCTTAAACCTTCCATCTGCAATATAGCCTGTTTTTACAGCACAGCCCTGACGCCTATGCATGGGAACTGGGTGTTGCATCGATGAAGGTTATTTCAGGGGCCCCTTGTACCTTAATTGCTTTCTCTGTTGACGCCGTTCTGAGTAACTTTGTGGGAAGAGCTTCCAAGGCCCTCCAGGCTACTTTGGGAGCATTTCTCAGATCTCCATGTGCTTAAATAATTGATTCATATCTTCATTACAGTTTATCTCATAATGCCTGTCATTTTAATTGTTTCCTTTAATCCTGATTTTTGCCTTGTTTACTTTGTCAGACACAAAGAGCATGTTTTTTTTGCAACTAATGCCATTAGTCCTTTCTGTTTACTCAGAAAAACTATTTGTTAGAGTTGTGCTTTGAAACTTTAAATGCACCTAAGTTCCTTTAAGTTCTTTGAACAAAGACTGAAGGACCAAATGACTGAGAGCAGAAGGCGATAGAGCTTGCAGCCACATAGCGGATTCATTATTTTATTTTTTTCACGCTATTTTATTCATAGACAGTTGTTGTTTTGTCAACAACAGTGGTAAGCGGTTGATAGCAATTAGACATTAAGCTCTCTGATAGCTGGGAATGTTACAAAACAAAGCTGAGAGCGGAGGGAGGAGGACGTGTGGGGGAGAGAGGATAGGAGAGCGTTTCGTATCTTTTCTTCTTGCTGATACATGTGCACAATTTGTCCTTCGGAGCTTATCGCTCTCAGCATTAATGAGCCTTGGCAAGTTGGAACAATGCTTGCAGATGGAGCTGGAAAGTCCTTTGCTGTAGAATGTGACTTTGGGGAGAACAGTCATCTGTGTTGAAGGTGTGGAATGCATCTATTCATGTTAAAGAGCATTTGTAGAATATGCATGTGCTTGTAAGAACGAGCTAAACAAGGAGCGAGCTTGTGAGCAAAAACTTACTGAAAATCATTTTGATCCATACGTGTAAGCGTGTCTTCCCTCCTCCCTTAGGAGTAAGCTGCGGTGGAGTAACAAGGGCCCATCCCGTCTATTAATAGCGTTCCTGATGGGTCAGCTCGAGTCTGGGATAGTCATATATCAGGAGGCACCGAGACCTCTCAGCCATTCATCGTGATAATAGATTTAACCCTGGGAATGGGCTTAGAGCAAGCCTCTGAGTCCATGACTTGGCTGACCTTTAGAAAATACAGTAAACACAAAAGTAAACACAAATGAGTTGCATTCCCATTAATTGAAGTTTGTCTGTCTGCCGCAGATTTAGCCGAGCAGATTGGTATTTACTCTCTGTACCCTTCAGTCTAAGAAAGCCCAGTTAGTCAAACATACCCTTTCCACCGCAACTGAGCTCCGATCATCACACAGAAGATGATTAAAAGTGATCAGGACGGAGATAGAGGAGATGAATCTCAATCCGAGTGCGACGATAATGCTGTAGCGCTTGCGTTTTGTGGCTAAGAGAGAAATTGCACGCAAAAGTTCACTTTCAGGTCAAAAGTGCGGGCAAAACATTCTTTTGAAAGAAAATGACAACAGACGGATGCAGATGAGGTTGTAATTAAGTGAGGAAGGGCGATGTGGACGGATTTGAATGGCAGTTAGCACATGCTAGCATGCGGCTGCTTTTGTCTCTCTTCCTTTTTTTAACAGAAATAACAAGCTTTGAATTCCTTTCTTAAATCAAAGGAAGCAGATCTTTCTAAATATGTCAGATAAATGAGGGCCAGCGCTAGGTCAGTGTTAATGAGAGGTATGTATGGATTTTTCTGCTGTGTCTGGGTGATTATCTGTAATGGCAGTATCACTGAGCTCTCGCTGCTTATGCATCAATGATCCACTCGGTGGGAGTGACCTCACCTATGAGATCCCCACTTCCTGTGCCAGTGGACCCACCTACCCCGTGCCACTGGCTGGGTGCATCTGTCGAATTAGAATATCTCCACTTGTCAGCAATTCTGGCAAGGTATAATTTTCCCTAATTTGCTCAGTTTAGACTGGGGAAATATATGAACCTTAAAAATTGCTCTGATTGGAAAGGAATTAATTCCCACAATGCTGCACTCGGTCATGCAGAAAGAGGGACAGCCGCTCTGCCAGTCTTAATGTTGCCGATGCTACCGCTCACAATTTTACCATGACATAACAGTAAGTGGGCTGGCTGTGGAATGTCTCTCTCTCTCTCTCTCTCTGTCCTGTCTCTTCCCCGTCACCGTGGCCCATCCGCAGTCTAACAAAAGGCCTCAGGTCCCGGGGAGTGGAAATGAAAGCGGTCAGGCGATCTGAGAGCGTAATTTGCTTGTCAGTACATTTTCCCGCGACCGGCAACATGCACGTACACATGCCTGCTTGTCACCGTGCGTCCCAACGCGGCGAGTAATTTCACTCAATACGTCCCTGACAGATTGGCCCTCGTCTACAAGTCACCAGAGAAAAACTGCTCAAACTATTCCCCAGACCGCGTGCCTCTCTTCATTAAGACTCTCTCAGGGTTCAGGATGAGCTGGGCACGGCCTCCAAACAATGGCTCCATCCCCCTACGTTGCTTCCCTATTAGAAGTGACACCTCTCACCTCCAGGCGGAAATTGTGTCGGATTGTAGCCGCATGGCCAGACAGTCTAAAAGGAATTATCCTAATTCTACAAAAGAATTCAATTTTATTTTTTGTCTGTTTGAATTGCCATTTCAATTGCCAGCGTACAAGATCACCTTACATCAATTGCTTAGAGGAAAACCATTTTCTTAATGCCATTCTGTCCTTGATATATTGTTTTGCCACAAGTTCTATACAAATCTCAAATCAACTTGTGAGAGACCTGTTTTTTTTTTGTTGTTGTTTTTTTATCATTGGAAGCAGTCTTTTGGGTTTAAGTAGTCCTAAAATAAAGCATCATGGGATAAAGAAGAATATCTGGGTCTTCCCTGTGGCGTATAATAGAGGGAGCAAACACAAATAGGACCTGCTAGCCTCTGCCCTGCTTTCTCTTTTACTCTTTTTTTTCCTTTTCTCACTCCTTTCTTTATCTCCTAATCTTTTTTCTCTCTTATTCTTCAATCTCTTTCTTTTAAATGTCAAACTCTGTCACAGTTTCAAAATCCATGCAAATTAATTTACTATGTGTATATATGTATACTGTATATAAAATCTTCTTTAATTTATAAATATTAAATTTAATAATAAATAAAAAAATATATTAATTAAAAGTAATTTCTTGTTTCTATTTTTTATGTAAAAGTTTTTTTTTCTGATCAAATGAAACCCGTTAATGCTTTTAATAAAGCAATTGTGTTTAATGCACATTTTAGGTGTTAGGTGTGTTATCAAGGTTTTGCTAATATCAAGTTTTTATTCGTTTTAATTATGTCAGGAAAAAGGTGCTTTATATCATGCTATCATTACTGCTAACACATTTAAGACTCTACTTGAGAGTCAGGGAAACTTCTCCGAATCTTCTGCTGGCGATGAGGGAAGAGAGGAAATACTGTGTTATCTTTTGTTTGGATGCTCATGTCTCTGCATTCCGGATGTGTGGAGGGAGCAGGGCTTTCTGCCACAGCTAACAAGTGGAACACTTTTGACTATGAGCTGCAGAAATGAGAGCGAACAGCTGCTGGTGTGATTGAGGAGGAGAGGAGAGAAAGAAGGAGAGGGGAAAGGAGTGGCGCGTGCTGTGCAAGAGACTCCAGAGAAATAGCCAGAAGATGAGAGGCGATACAAGCAGAGGGCAGAGACTCTAATGAGAGGGAATTGTAAAACAGAGAAGCAAGTAATCAAATAGCGAGAGATGCGAACCATGTAGCTTAGAATGACCACCTCGGCTAATACCAGCACAGGGTTACTAGCGTAGGCTTGTGTAGCAGAAATGTGCAGGACACATCCTACCCTTCAAGTTAGTGGAACTATGTAAGGAAATAGAAGGAAAAAAATTAGGTGGATGGGTTGAGATGGGGGAAGGGGCAAATGAACGAGGGAGCAGGCTGGGCGCCAGCAGATGGGACAGATGTCTGGCCATACTGGAAAGCATTGGCGCAGCGCACTAGCGCACCCCTGCTTCCCTTTCTGACATCTGGGCCAGCCTGGGTCAGCCTGCCTGCCTTGGGCAATGAGCCTGGACAAGCCTTGTGGCAAACGGGCGCGGGCGCCCCAGTGCTACTGAAATGGCAGAGTTGGTCATGCAGCAGTAACGCAGTCCTCTCCCCATGCTACCGATCAGCTGTGCCCATACAGAGAACCGAGGAGGATGCACAAACACAAGAGCCTTTAGTGTGTATAATGTGCTTATGTTTTGATGTATGATAATGTATCAGTGGGTTTTTTTTGGCCTCATGGACACGTTTCAGTGAGCTCAGACTGGGGCCTGTGCGGATAAGTTGGAGAGACAGTCATGCACCATTATAGCTAGAAGCACTAAAATTGGCTAAATCTGCCACTGTATTTCACAGCATCTGCCAGAGAGCAGTCGGCCTCTCTCTTTAAGATCAAACAAGAGACTCAAGTTGTTGTTTTTTTCCTCACATGATGGCCTATTTGCACATCATATGTGCTCAAATCTAGTGTTTCATGAGCCATTTCGGTTTGCGGTTTCATCCCAAAGAAAAATTCTGAAAATATACACACTGTGAACACTGTGAACCATAAAGGTGAAGTATATTACCATTGAAAAAAATCGTACTGACCCCAAACCTTTTTGTTTATTTTTAAATAAATGTATACTTTTATTGAGCAAGTACATATTAAACTGCTCAAAATTGGCAGTAACTTTCTATTTAAAAAATCCTGAAAAAGTGTATCATGGTTTCTGTGAAACAGCATAACATTGATATAAATAAGAAATGTTTCTTGAGCACCAGATTTCCAAACATTTTTTTTTACTTTGAGTATAGTATAATCGAGTATAGAAGAAGTTGTGATTGAGATAACAACCCAGGTCAGACTCGAACCTTTATAGTATATACACATGAGCTGATTGTATGCACAGCTCGCTGCACTACAGCTCTGATTATAACTTCAATTTTTACAGTGTAAAACACAGTGTGTTTGAATGATATTTGACCTCAAAAAAAGCGTAACCTTCCTTAACCATGCCTTTTTCGTTTATAAACAGTTTATCCCGAGTGTTTACATACCTTTACTCAGAGGTGGAGCACTGAATTGGCTCTCTGAGACACTTGAAAGCAAAGTATTCCTGAGTGCTGATACATCCAGCGGCGTAGTCTGAAAGTGTTGGGTAATCTGGATGATCTGCAAATACTGTTGTTGCAGGCAGAAACGGTGGGCCCACTCATTTAACCTCTTCTGTCTCCAGAGGGGTTGCTTTTAATTATCAGAGGCTAACCACCTGACCTTGGGGCGGACCCCACTCATTTGGGATCCACGGACTGTGAGATGGGCTTGGCTCGTATGTGCGAGAGAGGGAGGCAGGAGATGTGTGCGTGTATCGCTCGAAGTATGAGGACTGCGGGTGAGCGAATTGAAAAGCCCCATTTCCCGAGCCACTCTCTCTCTCTAACTAAGCTGTATAGCAGCGAGTCATTTAATGCTCAAGTGGACAAAGGTATTACCTGAGTCACTGGGGTGGATCAGGCCTTTTCTCTGCAGGCCTTTCTGAAACCACATGCTGAGAGCAGCTCAACATCTATGCCTCTCTTTTTCTTTAGCTCTCTTTCGGCCTCTCTCTTTCTCTCCAGCACCACTAGTGTTCTGTCCCCATCAGCTCCCATTTCCTCAGAGCCAGCAGCTTCAGTACACACTGTAATAGCTCTCCACTGTGTCAGATTGCTGCTTATACACCACTTTGTATGTCTGTTGGTGTTAGCACACACATGTGTGTTTTGTGTGTGTGTTGAGTTGAGTCACTCATCTTTTGTTCCTCTTTTAAAGTATCAAGTTAATATTATATTATATTATATTATATTATATTATATTATATTATATTATATTTAATGGATGTTTGGGAAGTGTCATATAAAGACTGTGCAAACTGTGCTGTGAAAGTGTGGCAGTATATAGTATTACTAATTTGAGATTTCCAAAAAGAGATTTGAGTATGAACCATGAAACACAAGATTTTTGTATGAACAAAGACTCCTTCAACAGATGGTATGGCCCAAATGCACATGAAATATTGATTCGAGTTTAAATGCTTGTATTATATGAGAAATCAGAATGTGTAAAATATTCCTGAGAAGACCATAATCATGAAAATCCTTGTGAATAAATTATCTTTCACTCTTCATTTGTGAAACAGAAATAGTGGAACTTTATTATTATAGCTAGATTTAAAGCATTAATAGACCGTGTTAACTCAGACTGGAGAATGATGGGATTGACCATGCTCAGCCTTTTAGTTTTGTGGGGCAGGGGGCATGGAACCAGCTTGTCCCGGCTGCCCCGTTCCCTGTTCAGCCATTGACTTTCAGCATGACCCTCATTAGCGTTGGCCCTGTCTGCTTTGGAGACCCTGCAGTATGGCTGGAGGGGAGGCAGAGGAGGCCCAATGGAGCCCTGCATTACATGCCCTTCAGACAGACTACCACGTGTGTCCTCACACCACATCAGCACATCTCCCTCTGTCTCCTTTTTGTCTATTTTCACACCTTTCAGCATCAAAACACATGGCCTTAATACACAAGCCACATTGTGCACAGCTCAATGTGACACATTTGCAAGCATCCTCTCCTTTCCTGCCCTTGACAATAAGAAGCGTGCTACATGTCACACCTCTCCATTAGTATTTTTTGTTTTTTTCACTTGTGTGTCTTTATAGTGCACCGCTTTACTCTTAACCCTGTGGCTTTGACCCGTTAATAAGGCCTCACAAAAGGTAGTCTGACTGGCTCTAATTTGAATCAAAAGCCAATTACGCTTCAGCAACAGCAGCAGCACTGTTAACAAACATCTGTCCAGCAGACTGGGCCAAGGGCTTCCTTCTTGTTCACAAGCACAAAACTCAAGTCAAATACACATACTCACACATAGGTTCACTTAATACCTATAGAGAAAAAAAAGAATAGCGATTGTGTTTTTTGCTTTGCGGTACAAAGGCTTTCTGTTTACCAGGCTGGCGAGCTGCACTATCACTGTGTGAACCTAATCAGCCTGCCATTTCCGCTGTCCGTGTGCCGACGCTTGCCCCAGGTCTCCCGCAGAAGAATGACCCTTTTGTGCGGCACTAATGTGCAAGCGTTTAACTTTGGTACCGGAGAGCATTTTAGTGTTGATAACTCCTGATACATGTAGACACAAAACGCTTTGTCTGGGCTCAGGTTTTTCTATGTGAGTGGCTGAGGTGGGGCAGGCCACTAATGCTGGTGCCACTTTTTCCATTTCAGACAAATGGAGTCCTTATGTAGCCCAGTAAGGAATGGAAATGAGAGCAGAGAAAGGGCAAACACGCTCGGGTACATACGCATTAAAAAAAAAGCTCTATGCTTTTTTGGGTTGAAAATACAACGACTAAGGCTGTAAAAACACATGGATAATAGCACTGGACCACTATATTTAGGGGAGACTGAGAGAATTTGGCTTAAACTTTGGCATTGTAGTTTTGGGTTTGGCTTATTTGTGTAAAATCATAAAGTGAGCAAAATATAGTACTGCTTAGTCTGATCTGAATTTGATTCATTAAAGGGTGATATTTTATAAAAAATATATATGGCTGTTACCTATAGAATCAACATCAAAATAAAAAGGGGAGCTGTGTATAATGCACTTGAAATCATAACACAGCTAGAACAGTGTTATTTTAGTATTATTCGCATATCATTATAGTTTTTATTAATATTTTGTATTAGCTTTTATTTTTAGCTTTTATTTTTTATTTATTGTTACTTTAATGTTAACTTTAATGTTTATTTATTTCCAGTTAGTAATTTTAGTGCTTCAACTTAACCTTATTTCAGGTAGTTGCAAAGGCAGCATTTCTAATTTAGTTTCTTTAGTTTTAGTTTTTCATTTCATTTTAATATTTATATTTTATTTTATTAAAGCTTTATTTGATTAACCCTGTCCTAGAATACACTTTAAATAACTGTCCAGTTGATGTTAGATTATATAGCTCTCTACTGTCTCTAATCACAGTTTCAAGTCTTTGTTTCATGCACTTTCAATGTTTTCAGATCTGATTTGAGCTGATTTGAACATTTATCTCCCGTGGCCTGGTGTGATTGCTCTTATTTAATGTGAGAGACAAAAGAAAACATAAGCATTTACCTGCTCGCTAATCAATATTTGCCTGAGGGAAAGCAGATGTGCATACAGCTGTCTTCTCACTAGAGAGCTGAAAGGAAGTGTGATTGTTTTGAAGCATCTGTAAATAATACACAGCACTAAAACAAATGTCGATATACTATGTTGTACAATTCTAACCCAGGATTTTGTATTTAATTGTTCCTTTTGATCTAACACTGCTTTGTTTTTTTGAATGGTGCAGTTATTACTTTTTTCCCTTTGGTCTGCATGGTGTGTGGATATTAGCGATCTGTTGAAATAAAAATCATTCTCAATAGGTTATGACAGTCAATCTCAGAGCTGAAATCTAAACATCTCCCCCACACTTTCACCGCTCAGTTCTGATAAGTGATTGACACGTAGCACTTCAGCATGCTGAATGCGTACCACTGGAAGGTTGCTGATGTTAGCGAGCATGTTGACGTGAGCCAGTGAAAATAAGCCAAAGAACATGAATTCTCTTTGTCGGGCTTCCAGTCTTAATGAATGTCTTTTGATAGAGTGCAAAATGGAAACTCGACTACCTTGAGTTTGTGTAACTTTAGGGGAACGTGCATTGTGCCATTGAAGGGGGAAGTTCAGGTGTCTGTGTAGCGACACAAAATGGCGCCAATTAAAGTCAAAGAGGCTTACTAGAGGGAGCGAGGGGAATGAAATCCGATCTTAGAAGCAGCTAGGCTTCAGTCTGCAAATTTTGTGTGATGAGTGGAAAGACGAGTGGCTTGTATGCCAAGTCTCTTGTATGCATGCCATTGCTGTGTGGTTTTTTGGGGGCTGCTGTCTCTCCCTGGATCCAGGGTTTGATATACAGTTAGACCTTTGATGGAGCTTCTGTGCTGGGATGGAAAGGGAAAAAGCAATGCAAGGGAGAGAAGAAAAAAGAGAATAAAGGCTTTGAATGGTGTCTGGCTTTGGATGTTAACGCCTTGTGGGTTGTCTCCCTCCTTACAGCAACTCTATGCCGCCCAGCTGGCCAGCATGCAGGTCTCTCCAGGAGCCAAGATGCCTCCGCTGCCCCAGCCCCCCAATTCTGCTGGGCCCATCTCCCCGTCTGGTTTGAAGAATGAAAAGAGGGCCTCAACCCCACTGACTCAAGTCAAGGTACGATCCCAGCCTGGTCTGGTGCGACTGGAGTGGTACTTGACCTAGTCTTCTCCACTTCCTTGTTCACTAAATCAGCTGTGGTAGGTACAGCAGCAGCTTGCTGCCTGGTTCTCCTCTCGCTCTGAGCCCATCAATCTGGGCTGCTTTTACAAGGCACCCGCTCTCTCAAGCAGAACTCTGTGGACAGGGTTGCTATGGCTTTCCCTGCTCCTGGAGAGCAGTTTTTGGAACACATGGTTTCTCATGACAGATACTGGTCCACGTTTTCCTGCGCATTACATTTAACTTGGACCAAACTAAGGCAATGACATCAGAGGCACATAATCTAAATATATTAAGGAGCCTACAATGATGTGATGAGTGTCTTTTGTTTCTTTTATAAGATCAACACTCGCAGCATATAGCACTTTTACATCAGTCTTCACTGATATACATCACCGTTTTTCTTTTTTGTGCTGCGGCTGTAACCTAAAACACTTGCACATTTGGAAAAGTTTAGTTTAATATCACAATAGAATGGGGATAAATCATTGAACCGAAATAGTAGTGTGTGTGTAGCACCCGTAATCCTCTTCAGTCGCTCAGCTAAGCTGCTCCTCCAGGGCTTTTGGAGCCTCTGCCCTGGGAGAGAGCCTCCACATTTCAACATCTCAAAGCATACGGTAAGATCATTGGCAATTGCACTGAGCCGCAATTCAGAGTCGGATGGGCATTTTTAGACACTCTACTTCAGTTTATTTAGCCAACACATGTTGTACGAGATACGCTATCTTAATATTGATCAAAGATGTTACGTGATATTTGCCCCGTTAACTCCATATGTAGATACGCTGTGCTTAATTAGCTAGCAATCTGTTTGTTTGTTTGTCTAGTTGAAACGTAATTGAATGACAAACTGTTATTGGCAGTCAGATTTGTAAAGAGCTGGGGGCAGTCTCTGTATGTGGCCCATCTGTTTGGACAGTACAACACTGCCAGTGAAATCTTTTTCTAGCCTACACATGATGAGATGCGATTTTAAATTTGATCTTAATTGATGATGCAGTTTTGACACAAATTATATATTGTGTTTTACTCATCAAGCTCTCTACTTTGGGGTAGGTAAGATATTTTAAATGTTTTTGAAAAAAAAGTCTTATTCTCACAAGGCTGCATTTATTTGATCAAAAAAACAAAACAAAACAAAAACAGTAAAACAGTAATGTTGTGAAATATTATTGAAATAAAAAACTGTTTATTTTAATATATTTTAAACTGAAATTTATTCCTGTGATGGCAAAGCTGAATTTTCAGCAGCCATTACTCCAGTATTCAGTGTCACATGATCATCAGAAATCATTCTAATATACTGATTTGGTGCTCAAGAAACATTTCTTATTATTATCAATCTTTAACACCATGTGGAAACCATTAAACTTTTTCTTTCCAGGATTCAGTAATAGTATTTATTTGAAACAGATATATATATATATATATATATATATTAAAAATATATATCACTTTTTATCAATTTAATGCATTCTTGCTGAATAAATGTATAAAAGATAAATAAATAAGTAAATAAATCAAATAAAAACCTAAACTTTTGAACATTAGTGTACATCCCTAAAAACACAAATTAGAGCTGTTCTCCTCATAGGGACCACATTTGGCCACCACAAAGACAAGGGAACACACACTTAATTGTAATACATTCAGCTACAACAGCAACAACCTCTCAGGTCTTATTGCATTTGTTTGAAACAGGATGTATTAGCTGTTAAACGTTTCTCCAGGGCATGAGAGCAGGTGAGAAGATAAAGATGTGTGCTCAGACAGAGAAGGTTTTAATTATCCCGAACAAAACCTGGCCCTCACTGCACCGAGGAGCTAGAGCATGGCACAGAGCTTGGCTATGAATACAGAACCCATGTCTTGGAGGAGTCGGACTAATTAGTCTACAGTAATAGCCTCTGGTGCATTGTCTTTTATGTACGGTGGAAAGCATCTCTCTATAGAGCGTCCCTGTTTTAACAAAAGCTTTGTGTCTTTTATGTTCAGGAGGAGGGAACGCAGCCTCTCAACCTCTCCGCCCGGCCCAAGACAGCTGAGTATATCAAATCCTCCACATCCCCGACACAGAGCTTCTTTCCAGGCAACAAGAGCAGCCCGAACAGCCTGTCCAAGAGTGGAGGCATCCCCAGCCCCATCGGAGGAATAGGCCGTGGCTCGTCTTTGGGTAAAACTGTAGATTTTGTCTACTTGTAGAGTTCTGTGTAGTGAAATCTGTTATAATTATTAACATTCTCACAGCTGAGAGTCTAATTGTATATTTCTGATTTTTTGTTGTGTGGAAGCAGAGAGTGAACTTGACACAGTCCCAGCTCATAATCTCTTTTAGACCCTGCCATTTTAACGCAGTAAAGAGTAACGGATGCCATTGCTGTATATTTGTTGTCAAAGCTTGTTGTTCATCTCTCATATTAAGATTTTTTTTTTGGAAGCTACTAACAGTTTCTAAAAACAGTCTTTCATTAAAACGACACTGTGTTGTTGAGCAGTGCTCATTTCCCTCCTCTTCTTGGAGTTGGGCTTTGAACACAGGCTTGGTGTTTGTTTTTCTACTATTTCCTAGATTTAACTGCCATCCTGCCTCACCTCACTTTGATCTACTAATTACAGAAAGGCGACACACACTGAGATTGCTCCCTTAGCTTCCCTTAGTTTCCTGCCCCCCCGCCCCCCACACACACACACACACACACACACACACACACATGGAGTCGACCACACTTACAGTGCACACATGCAGACTGTACTCACAAGACCGCCTATATTGTGTTTCACAATACAGCCCTAAGCATTTGTGTATTTGTATGTTGAACCTGAGTGATTTGTCTCTGCAGACATCCTGTCCAGCCTGAACTCAACAGCGCTGTTTGGAGATCAGGATGCAGTAATGAAGGCCATCCAGGAAGCGAGGAAGATGAGGGAGCAGATTCAGAGAGAGCAGCTTGAGCATCATCAGCAAGGAATAGAGGCCAAGCTGTCTGCCCTCACCAGCATGGGCCTGAACAACTGCAGATCTGATAAGGTGAGTGTGTTTGACACCTGTGAAAAGTGTTGGGTTACTGCAGGGAATTTGGATTATGGAATCACTTCACAAATATCAAGTGCTTAAATTAGACTATAACTTTTTCGTTTATTACAAATTCCTAACATTTTGTTTTATTATTTAAAAAATAAAAACTATTAATAAAATAGGACAATTTTAATTAAAAATAGAAGAGCAATGAGTGACATAGTTCATAAATTTTCCCGCTATCAACAACACAGAGTCTTGCAGTTTTTCCTCATAAAAATATTGTTTGTTTGTTTGTTTTTTTTAACTTGTCTAACCGTTAAGTTAAGTGTTTTGCAGTAGGTATAAAACATATATAACACACACACACACTATATATATATATTATATATGGACATTTCCCAAAATATAATAAAATATCATTATGCAATAAAAATCCTTGCCAAAAATACACAGAATTTATGTATTTTATACAATGTAAAATACATATTAAATAACAATTAAATAAATAAATAGTATTAGTAATTAGTACTAATTAGATTTTCATAAAAACATTGTATGTAGGACTCTTTTTGTTGATAAAGGCTTAGTTTAAGAAATACGCTGCCCTTTATTTTGTCAAAATAGAACAAAATCATTTGTGCATGTGAGTCGTCAAAGTAATCAAAACCCAATTTTATTCATGCAATTTGTAATCAATACCAGATTCCATTGCAGAAGTAATATGCCCAACACAACTGACTCTTGTTCCTGCCCCTTTCGCCTGAGGGCACAGCAACAGCCAAAGCTCAAGGACTTGAGCCCACAGTGTTTTTCAGACATGATCTTTAAAACCAATCAAGGTCTTTGAAGCACGTCCAGAGGAGTGTCTTATATTGACATTGGCAGGATAGATGGTGGATGAGTGTGTGTTTGCATTTGTGAGCAAGGAGGACCATCGCGGTCCTCTGGTGCCTGGCCTGTGCGGGTTCAAACTATGATGTCTCTGCCCAATTAAAGCATACAGGCAGCCCTCTTCAGCCCCTGGTGTGGGACAGGCCCACTTTGTACCGGGAGCAGACATTCTCTCAGTGATTCTTTTTAAAAATATCTTCAATCAATGAGTCAATCAAGGAGCAAAAAAACAGACACCACTACCATCTGATTGATGCCTTATTGCCAGTTGGCTGTGAAACGCAGGCAGGAACTGGGAGTGGAGGCTCATTCATTTTTCAGCACCTGATTACTTTCAACCAGCATCTTAAAGTAGGTCAATGTATATGTAAAAAAAAGTAGAGGGACTATTTTTCAATCAACTTAGAAGTCAGGGCGAAAGACATGCCCCGATGTGGGTGGCATCGGAGGAAACTCCGAGACCCAAGCGCGTCCTCGATAAAGGCAGAAATCCCATTTTTATATTATTGCTGCTTCTCACAGCAATTTACAGTACCTCTTTAGTGCTCAGGAATGCATTGTGGGGGTCATAATCCTGTTTTCTCAAACAAAATGCCCAACTCTAAGCCATTATAAATGGAGATATCACCTGAGCCAGTGCATTACGTGCCATTCTTTTGAGATTTTGCACTCTTTGTTCGTGTTCTTTGGAGGTGGATGTGGTATGTGAACATGCAGCCATCACCTGTGGCTGTCTCCCTCCCTCCCTTTTTTCCCATTTTACCTTTACCAGCCTTAACTCATCCTCTCCTTCCCTCTTTACCTCCCAAAATTGCTCTGGGGTTAGCTCATGGTCAGCCAAACGCGAGAATATGCCGCTACATGACATGAATGCTGCTCCAACAATGGCTGAAAAGGCACGTTTGTCAACAGGCAGCACACACCTACAGCTTCATTGTTCTTAGCAGGCCGAGCTTAACGCTTTTTTTCTCCTCCTCTCTTGTCTGGCTTGGGTTTTGTCTTCTCACGATTGTAAGGCCCTGCCTTTTCACATGGTTATTTTCGGCATCTCGGCTCAGGTGAGCTTTGTGTGTTTTTCTAAGTGGGGAGGAAATCAGTTCTGTTTCTCCTTATAGTCTGTTTCCCCCAGAGAGAAAAAAGACATTAAGCTTGTGGCTAAATGTGTTTTCCCTAAAGGTCTTTGATGTAAGGGCAAGGTAATTCGGGGCAGCCAGCGGCACAAAGAAAGGGGCAAAGGAGGGAACGACAAATAATAATTAGGTGCTCTATCAGTGTGAAAATATGACTGGTATGTTTGGGTTATCATTGTTGCTATAGGTTACAGAGACTCCCTAGGTTTTTGAAGTATCATTCGCAAAGACATTCTCTTTCTTTAAGCCTTTTTTTCCTTCTGAGTTCTCAGTTGCTTCCATATCTGAGAATGTAAGTTTATGACCTTAAAATACGACGGAAGAAAATGGCAGGCCTCTTTTGTACTGTAGTCTCGCTCAGAAGCCTGTCTGCATTTGATGATATCATAAAGGCAGCTTCACCTCAGTCTGTTACTGAGCCAAACAGACGTATTGATGTTGCAAACAACCAGAGGCCAAACAGAAGCTGTATTTTCCTCATCATGTGTTCCATATGTCTCTGAAGTTCAAACGAATGGAACTGAGCAGACATTTATTGTACTTCGTGTAATATGAAGAATATTCCACATTTTTTCAGTTTTGTTAGTAGGTCTGATTTAAAATTATCAAATGAATTACATGATATTCTGTTTATATTAATTTTAAGACAACTTTATTCTGGCAAATAAAAAAATAACTGAATAGGCTTGAGGTCATTATGTTTGTTTTGTTTTGATTTTCTGTTTTGTTTATTTGAAGTCATGTTTTTTAAAATTATTATTTATCTAGTTGTTTTTTAACACAAGCACACATTCTCTTCTCAGCTCTCCGCTCATTTTATGCAGTTAACATATACAGTGGGTACGGAAAGTATTCAGACCCCCTTAAATTTTTCACTCTTTGTTATATTGCAGCCATTTGCTAAAATCATTTAAGTTAATTTTTTTTCCTCATTAATGTACACACAGCACCCCATATTGACAGAAAAACACAGAATCGTTGACATTTTTGCAGATTTATTAAAAAAGAAAAACTGAAATATCACATGGTCCTAAGTATTCAGACCCTTTGCTCAGTATTTAGTAGAAGCACCCTTTTGATCTAATACAGCCATGAGTCTTTTTGGGAAAGATGCAACAAGTTTTTCACACCTGGATTTGGGGATCCTCTGCCATTCCTCCTTGCAGATCCTCTCCAGTTCTGTCAGGTTGGATGGTAAACGTTGGTGGACAGCCATTTTTAGGTCTCTCCAGAGATGCTCAATTGGGTTTAAGTCAGGGCTCTGGCTGGGACATTCAAGAACAGTCACAGAGTTGTTGTGAAGCCACTCCTTCGTTATTTCATTAATGAGGAAAAAAAATTAACTTAAATGATTTTAGCAAATGGCTGCAATATAACAAAGAGTGAAAATTTTAAGGGGGTCTGAATACTTTCCGTACCCACTGTAGGTCAGGGGGCATGATTCATATTTTTTGTTTGCCTAATATCTTCATTCATTGATACATAAAATCCTGTTATAAAGTTAAGGCCACAGTAATGCCCTCTAGCCATATGTTTGAGGGGACCCTTTACATGTCATGGGAAGAGCTACTACAAGCATGTACAAAATGGTAATGAACCGCCCATTGTATATCACCCAGCATTGCCAGCAGTCAGACAGTTGGCCCGTGCCTGCTGATCGCGCCTGACGGACGAAAAAAAGGCCTCTAAGTGTTCTAGATAAAAACTTTCACTTTGGTCAGTTTCAGAATATTAATATTTCAGCACATCGCCTCACCTGACATAAATACTGAACGCCCTTTAATAACTGCCTTCCAGTCTGCTGTTTGGAAGTTTATCATAGTGAAAGCTTACGTGGAAAGGTAACATAAATGGGATTAAGGAGAGGTTAAAATCATCTACTGGGGCTGTTGGTGGGGGATATTAAATATTGATTTATCCCGGTGTAACGACTGAGCTGAAGAGTGAGGCTAAGTGCTGCTTACAGATGGATCAATTCATCTTTTAATACAAAGTGTGTCCGTTGAACACAATGCAATGACCTGCATCCGTTTTTTCTCTCGCACAGAGCCATTTTTCTCTCTCTGAGATGGAAGAGCCATCCCCTTTGAGTCTCCTGTCTTTTAGATGCATGTGTAAAATATTCATGTTTTAGTGTTTGCTTGCTTGTTTTCTATTTGTCTTTTTACCCTTTGATGTCCCATCAGTAAAAGAAAGCTTTTATGGGACCTCCAACTATTTGCTTTTTTATTTCTCTCCAAATATTTGTTAAAAGTGTTATTGTCTACTGAGGGCAATTATTCTATTTTATTATTTATTATACATTTTCCCCCCTGGAAAGTACACTGCATTGTACATTTCTTGATCCATTTTATGCACTAGTTTTAAACTACTTTGTTTAGATTTTTCATTTCCAAATTTAATTTCACAAGCCACCTAATGATGAGGTTCCACTCTGGAAAGAGCCCAGATTTTGATTTCAGATATTTCACCCTTGCTAATAACCTACTTTTCGACAGATGTTGCAGTCCGACGGAGCCTGGCGAGGAGATAAAATATATTCTTGTGCTGACACTTCCCAAACTGGAATCAAAGGGTGAAAGGCCAGTGTATTAACCTATTGAGAATCCGCCGGCCTCCCTGCCCCTCCTCTCACCTACATTATTGATGAGTGGAATATTCACTTTTCTCAAATCCTTGAGCACAGGGCCACAAACATTTAAATGGAGCCTTGCTCACTCTCCTCAAAATTCTCACCCCCTACTTTTTGACCCAAAGCCAATGTTTGCTCCCGTTCCCTCCCCTCGTGTGAGTCTTAGGGGTCTATTCACGCTTCCCTTTACAAAGACTTGGGGTATAATCTTGTCTGGTCTGCAGCCCTGGAAGCAATTTTCTACCCCTTTTTCTGCTGCTGTCTTGGAAATTGCCAGCATAGGTTATTTTTGGCTGCAAAGTAAATCCTGCCATACATGGCTTTGGCCGTCCAAAATTTTATTATATTCTGAACTC